AAACAATCTGACAATACTGAAACAGAAAATGAACATAATTTTGACAATTTTGATATTGGATTTTATTTTAACCACTCGTTAACCGTTAATATTAATTATGTATAAACTAAGGACCCCCCCCAGAAAAATTTGAAAATACGCCACTGATTAATATTATCTTGATTTGTGTAAACTTGATACATTATGTTCCTCTAACATTACTAGAATATTATTTAAAAGTTGTAAAACCAGATTTTATGTGAATGCATTTTATACGTTTTATGTATGGATCTAAGAGAAAAATCAAAATAATATATTGGCTTTCTCTATTTTAAAATTGTAAATTATTTGTATATATTAAAATATTCATAACTCACTTTAAAATTAAAATAAAATAAAAAGCCCATGAGATGTCTTAAACAATAATTTTGCTTTAATTTTCATATGAGATCAATTCACTTAAAGTTTTAAACTAACAAAGCTAAACGTGATCTGGTGAGCGTAAAATTTGCTGTTATGCCCTAGTAAGACGGAGACAACACCATGTGAGTATAGTCTTCTTATTTATCAAATGTACGCATCCAATAGTTTTAATTTCGTACAATTATCTAAAATATTAAAATCAATTGACCTATTAGTCAACTTAAATGTAAGAATATTATCTGTGAGCTCTCATTGGTTTTTTTGTWTTTTACAATATTTAAATTTTTAAATGAATTATGAGCATTTTCTAATTATAATATTTTACAAACTCATAACTCGTATAAAAAATAAAATATCATAAAAACCATAGAGAGAGCACAAATTATATTCTTACATTCAAGTTTGGTGTTAGGTCAATTCATTCTAGATTTGAGTTAACAACACAAAATTGGAACTACTGGGCATACATTTTGATATATTATGCATCTATGAGTTATTAAAATGAAGACAACACCACAATATGTGGTGTACAATATCCTCTAAAAATTTTCAAATACACACAAAAAAAATTTTGAAATAAAACGAAATAACGTTTGTAATTATTCTTAATTTAAATATCCAACTGTCCAAATTTTATACTAAAATTTCAATGAAAAAAAAAAAATATATTTTCACACAATATTGTTGATTATTTAAACTTCTTATGAAGGATTTTGTATTTACCTTTAAATCCTTAGATTTAAGAAATTAATATTTTGTACATTTAATAGGCTCAAGAACCTAACTATGATCCAAAATGACACTCATATTCAATATTGTACATACTTAATATTAGGGCAAAGATTTTAATGTCCTACAAAATACCTAAAAATATAGTCTTTAAGTTTCCTTCTTAATTATGACCAGAACAAATATAAAGTTAATATAACAATATTTCAATAATGTTATGTATATGTCATAGTAAAGTTTAACAAAAAATAATATAAATTAACTGTAGGAAAAACAACTAATAAAGATTTAAATAAACTGATGATTAGAAAAATAGAAACAAACATAGGTACTAATCCATGTTAAACTTTTTTTTAAACACATAGAGTTTTTGTAGTTCAATTTAATTTGCATCTTCTATTTTTTTTTTTTTTTTTACAAGTTCTTCTTGGGTTTTTAGCATAGCTTCTTCCCTTTTTTCCAACTTATCAAGACTATTAATTATGTACAAATGAATAATTAGAAATAATCAAAATGGTTATTAGGTATCTAATATTTATTTACTAACCAACTATTGAGTTGCTTTGCATTTTCTTTTGCTGATTTCAACTGTCCAATTTTTAATTCCTCAAATTGTTTAATCCAAGAATTAATAATAAGAATTTAATTACTAGTTTTATTTAATAATGATTTTTGTACCAACCTAGAAGTTGGAGGTTCTTCTATTAGACTTGAGAAGATTCGTGAATTGAAAAATCTGATGTTTCGTGGATTGAATTTACTGAAGGTTCAGGCAATAGTCTTGTAGATGATTCGTGCAATAGATCTATAAAAGTTGCATTAATAAATTATAAAATATATAAGGATGTAAACTACAAGAACAAACATTCTACATTTAGTTTTAGGTTAGTAAAACTGTTAATTTTAACTTAACATTAAGTATATGCATATATTTTATTACTAAAATTATTAATTAACCTCTGGGTGGAGAAACTGTTTGTCTTGCTGTTGGAGATATGGAATTCTCCATAGAATCGTAATACTGCCATTTGAATTACCACTTCCCGATACCTTGGATGCATCTCTTACTTGACAAAAATGTGTTAGTATATGACGCCACTTTTCATCACACTGCCTTTCGCCTTTCACTGAAATTATGATTTTTTTTCTTTTTTTTCTTGTATGTTGAAATTTATCATTATACGTTGATCTGAGTGCAATCAACAATTTCATAGCTGCTGCTGTCCATAAGCCTAAAAAAAAGTATACTTCATATTTTTATCAAATTTAGTTCATGAAACAATATTAAATGTAATATTTACTGGGCATTTCAGAGTTTGGTGTAGTATGGTTAAAGGGGCTATAATCATCGTTCACAATGTCCTCACCAAYAACTGGAATAATAAATTGAAAAACATTTTATAATCATAAATTATAAAATATTATGTACTTCAATACTTTATTGTAAAACCATAAAGTTTGAAGGGTTTAAAAATGTTCATACCTTCAAGGTAACTGCCAATCGCATCGTCATCAGAAATATCCCGTGAAGAAATAGTGAATTTATAGAAATGAATCGAAATAAAATTAATGATAGGTTTATTAGGGTATTAGTGCTAACTGCTAAAAGAAAATTTTCAGTCAATCGTTCAGACTTTGAACAGCCTTTTATATGAACTATGTAATTAACCTGGGTGTTCAGGTTAATTAAATATACATGTTTGTATAAGCAACCACAAAGAAAAAATGAAATTTCTTTTTAAAAACAATTCATCACGTAATTTCAACTACCTATTTATATTTAAATATAACAACTTGATATGTAGTATACATATTGTCTCCGTTCATGCAAAACACACAAAGTCCAAACATTTTTCTGGTTTATTATTCTATAGAATTGAGTTTAAAAATGTCTACATTTCTCTAATCAACTAAGTCTGAGTATTATTTAAAGACTTAAAGTTGGTAAATAAACAATTTAAAATTTCAACTAAGTCCATTAGAGATCCTGAATACGCATAACACACTAAATTTAGTTTCATTTAATATGCATTTGAAATTTGAACAAATTGCCAAAACTGATTCTCAACAATTATACTTTTGGGCTTAGTGTGTTTTACATGAACGGGGACGTTAGAGTCACATAATTTAACAATACTTAATAGTAAATACAAAGTAAACTATCGCTATGTCAATTAATATAAGTTTTATTCAAGTTTCTTAATGCAAAACTAATAGTATTAAGCTTATTAATGACAGAAATATAATATAGCTCACATTTTTATACAACTTAAAATATAAAATCTTAAGTACGACAAAAATGAATATCTAAAAACTACTACTTACTTACTGCTTAGTGCTTACTCCAAATCAAATATTGATTTAATCAAGGTATTACAAAATTATTGTATAATATATATATATATATGTATAATCAGCAATCCACTAATCGACGGTTAGTATTGAATACTTATAAAAATATAATGCATTAATATTGAGTACACTGGTTGATAGACTTTAATATGATTAATATACCTTAAAAAATAACCTTATAGACAGCTTCGATGTTCGCGTTACGAACGGGGATGTACTGCTACTGCATCAATGTCACTATTCCCAGAAAATAGTCCGATTGTAATGTATTAACCACACAATCATCATGTAGGGCATGATATAGAGATTGGGGCATTCTACGATGCAATGAGACGGCGTGCTTTAACGGAGGGGACACTTCCACGGTCAATTCTAGAAGAAGAAGTGAGGAGGTAAACAAATTCACAAAATTATTTAAATACTTAATTTAGAGTTATGTCAAAATGTACTAATACCTGAATAACAATTTTTTAGATTTCCAAATGCAGCTATAGAGGTGTCTCGTGAGCAAGCACTACGGGCAATGCGCTATGTGCGATGAAGTGTGAATCCACCAACACCAGATAATCTCAGGGCCATGGGAGAGATTATTGTGTCACCAACATGGCAAAGTCGTCTACTTTATTCCGTAGATGATAATGCACCATTCTTCCATGGAAACTTGGAGTTCATAGTCAATGAAGAATTGATTTTTGGAGGATTGATTTTTTTAAATTTRACATTTTTATGACGCATTGCTCCAAGCAAATCTTGGCAATTGATGGCACATTTGGTGTCATTCCGCGAGTTCCTGCTGATATGAAACAGATTTATGTATAACAACTTTTATGAGTTTCAAGTTAAATTTTCTTAAAACATAATATAAATTATTTATATTGAAATTAATAATAATATATGATTTTATATTAAAAAATATAACTACTAGTTTCTACATTTGGTCATCACTCATCAGGTTACATACTTACAAGTCTTTATAATAACAAATGATCATAATAAATTATATTGAATTATATTTCTCAACTCGGACAGAGTATACTTAGTACAACTTATGTATATATCATATTATATTATATCAATGTAAAATACAGTAGTATTTAAAAGAAATTAGGTACTTTAAAAAAAACTATTAACTAAAAAAAAGTTTTCTAGTTGCCTGTTTTTTTAATGTATTTCAACATTTGTGATTTACCTTAGTCAATAAAGAAATTATATTCTCAAATGCACTATTTGTTTGCAGAACATTTTACGTTTTGTCCAGACCCATAGCATGGTGACATTATTCCGTGAAAACCATCATGCTGCCACAATACTCAAAATGGTAATAAGAAATAACAATTAATGGCGGATGGATTAGGATCTAGTGATATGAGAAATTCTTACATTAATATTAACATTTTTTTTTATATAGATTATGTCTTTACCACACTTGCCACCACAACAGATGCCAGAATTGCCAGAAGACTTCCACATTCTTGGGGGTTTTCTGCCAATCACAAGATTGGCAACACGTATGGGCATACTGAACCGTATTATTCAGTTAGTGGACTATGTCAGACAATACTGGTTGACAACAGTGCGTCCATCCGGATTTTCCGTTTACGGTGTAAACATCCATACTAACAATTAAGTGGAAAGTTTTCACAGCATGCTTAAGTCTACCATAGGCATACATCCCCCAGCCTGGTCTTTTTAGGGTAATTGATTTTTAATAAAAATATATAATTGGCAATAGCTGGAATTTTGATTGGTTTTTATAATTTTTTGCAGATCGATTACGATCGGTTGAAAGTAGAGTACGGAGGGAAACGTTACAAACAATCAATGGCCAGCAAGTGAGACAATTAACTAAATATGGTTTATATTTTTGAAATTAATTTTAATTTAAATAAATCAAACTTTAAAGGTACGAAGATCTTTTGTGTCTAGCAGAGACACAAATAACTGCATTTTGGCTGATGCTCTATGGCCGCTATGACACAATGGCATATTTAAGAAGAGTGTCTTATTCGGTGAGAAGGTATATAGATATGCAAATAGGCCCTTTAACTAATGGTAGGTACCATATAAATTCAATTGGGTGTATAAACTAAATGACAGTAAAATGGAATTTTAGAAATCCTTCTCGAAGATTTTATTCCTGGACAGCTACCAACGGTTGGACTTCAGCCTCTGCCACCTGTATTGCCGCCATTCCACATTCGTGGAGCTGGTAGAGGTAGGAGGGGTTGTGGACGTCATCGGGCAGCAGCAGTTCCAGAAAATCATGGAATGGTTCGGCATCCAAATGTGCGCCAACAACCAGGTGGTGGTAACCTTGGATTAATTGAAGGTCACCATCTTCTGGGTAATAAACAACTATACATTTAAATTAAAAATACATTATATACTCTAGTTACTATACTTTAAATATAAATATTATAGGGAATACAGACAATATTGAGGTGCCAATCCAGATTTAAGGTAAGCATATAGAAATAAAATATGATAAAAAATATATTGCCCTAACAAAATATGACTTTTTTGTTTGTTTGATTAGCAAATAATGAAGACCGAAATGAGCCCCTTGATCTGCCAGAAAACGAAAGCATGCCTTAGAGTATTTCTATAAATAAAATGTTGGAGTGTCTTTGGTGGTTCTCCACCCAAGTACTAATGTTTTGTAATTTATTCTTCTACGCCCATAAGCTTATTGTAACTGTATTACAGATTATATATTATTCTAACAAATTTAAAAATAATAAATAAAATAAACTATGTATGATTAAATATTCACTTATTCTACAATTTAATTTGTTTTGAAGTTGATCAGCCACATATCGATGATACGTTAGCGGAGGAAGAGGTCTATAAAATAGTTGAGCTTGGCATAGATGATGCTTTTACCTATTGACGGTAAATTGATTTTAAATGTTATAATACTGAAACATAAGCTTAATAACTTTCCATTTTGTTTCAGAACAAAATACTCAACCAGCTCACCAGGCAGTTGATTTAGATATCCCTACATTTGAAGGCAAGTTATTATTATTATAATAATTTTCCATTAAGAGGACGTTACACTGACATTTGTTATCTCCGTCTTAGAAGTGCGTAACATACCTAATTTTACTCTCAGAAAATCATGTTTAGCTATACTAGTTTAAAAATTAAAGTGAATTTACCTCATAAAATGTAAAGGTAAGATTATTTTGTAGAGTATCTCATAGGCTTTTTCTTATATTTTAATTTTAAAGCAAGTTATAAAAATGTATTTTTTATATTATTGATATTTATTTTTAATTTTAAAATTGTAAATTTTATGTTACATATTAAAATACTCATAGCTCACTTTAAAGTTAAAATATAATACAAAGCCTACAAGATGCCATACAATAAACTTAGCTTTAAATTTTAGAAGAGGGCAATTAAATCTAATTTTTAAACTAACCGAGCTAAACGTGTTCTATCGAGCTTACAATTTACTATGATACACACTTGTAAGATGGAGACAACAAATGTCCTTGTAACGTCCTCTTAAATAGAATTGAAAAATAAGAACTCACTTATACTTTTTATTCTAAAGGTGACCCTGTAGAAGACAGATGTTTTATTTGCCTTGAAAGTTGTAGCCAAGTAAATTCGGCCAACATTTTGGTGCCTTGCGGTCACGGATAGTGCTGTGATGAGTGTGCGGCTCGATTAGATAAATGCGGAATTTGCAAAATAGAATTTCCCACAACATAGCCCATCCATATAATGCATGTTAACCTAGGAAATGGTAAATATTAATAATGATACAGTAAATTGAAGATTTTTTCTTTTATAATTAAAATATACAATTTTTATTAAAAGGTAAATGGATGTCAAATAATTCTTTACTCGATCTAACTGGAAGTCGTGTCTTGGATGTATGCGCAATGTACAATATGTACCAGACCAGGCGCAATACATACTGTTGGACTGTGGCCATGGATGGTATTGTGCAAGCTGCATCTCATCTACATCTGTGACGTCTGTGGTGATATGGTCGAAGGTACCTTAAGAATATTTTTAAATTGAAAAAATATTTCATCATTTTTTTGTTATTCATTTATATATATATAGATATATTTTTTTTATACATTACAATACTTTTTTTATATATTTATATTATATTATATTTTTATTTGTTTTGTTTATTTACTTAAATAATTTCTTGATTTGTTTAGTTATTTATTTTATACTAAAATGCTAAGATAGCTGAAATAAATATATCATTTTTATATTTTCTTATTAATTATTATTCAGGAGAAAATCTACCAAACTTCAATCAATAACAGATAATATGTTTTAATTGTTAAAATAAATTGTTACAAAAAACGTATTCCAAGAGATAAGATCACTGCATAATATTAATTTATCTACCTATCATAGAGATTGGCTCAAACGACTGTAAGACAAAATATTTATAATTAAATTACACAAAACAAATTTACTAAAACTTTTTTATAGAAACTGGAGTCAACAAATTTTATTAATAACAAATAGCTTAATGAATTTCAAATTATAAGATGTGATTGGGATCAAAGAATATCTAATAGATATTAAAAGTTTTGTGGGTCCAGCGGCAATTGTTTGTTTCAAATTATTTTAAGTAATACAAGATGGAAGAGCTTTAAATGATTACAAAGAGCGTACCTAAGAAAATATTATAATTATTACCTGTCACATTGAAGAAAAAAAATGACACTGAGATTGCCTAAWAGTCAAAACAAATATTTAACATATTAAAATATCAAATTTCTAATTTATCCATGGTATAAATTAAGATAATATTAAAAGTAAATCACATGTTATATACATTTTTATGAAAAAAGACATCAAATATAAATTTTAATATTATACTAGCTGTGACACCGTGTACTCAGTAGTGTGCTTCTGTTTTTCATTTACAAACTCTGAAGTTCTGAATACTGAGAAGATCTACTTTACACCGTGGAGCGTGGATTATACTTTAATAAAATCTATACAATGTTATAATAATGTCTATACACTTATATTAAATATATAACTTATTAATTATATAACTCATAGATATTATCTATATTACCTCATTTACATTCAGCCATTGCTGCTGCTCCTCGCGCTGCCGTATTTAATTTCTAAAGTACCTCAGTGGCAGCGTCGTAGGCAGTGAGTGTTAATATTGCCCTGCTAATATGAGCAGGTTAATTACGCTGATTAACCTGCGGCTCATACTGCTCAATTTACCGCTCTTGACTGGGGCGTCGGGCAGCGGCAAAGCGAGGAGCATGGTCAGCGTGAGTAACGAGTTTACACGCTTATGCTATGCTGCCCACTTCCCTGCTGCTGCTCACTCAGTCACTCCACGAAAATAGGCTGATTATAAATGAGGTATATTATTAATATTATTTATCATGGTTTTTACTTATCAATCATCATGTAGACATGCGGTTATCTCTATCAGTAAAATGCAAATATGTCGGAGTAATATAATATAATATCGTTATAGTTTATGTTCGAAGTAATTGATATCGGAGCAGTGTTATGGTTGACAATAAAAAATTTTGTTCGGAGTAATACAATGTCATAGTAGTATATAGTCGTAGCACTGGTGTTATCCCCGGTACAACACTGGCCGGGTACCTACAACTAGTAGAGTTCTCCCGGAGTGTGATAAGAAATGTGATAAAGCATATACACAGAATAGATGAAATATACCAGGGATCTAGCAGTGATACCAATACGAAATAAGTTACGTCAGTGATGCCATGCTAGCGGCACTCGTCGCTACGCTCCTCGGCGCTGATCGAAAATATCCCTCGACTTGCAGCTGTGCAACACCACCTCAAGTTGGTCACATGGTAACCACAGATTAACCGCCGCATAACCAATCTTATCACTCCGAGAGAACTGGGGTATCACCCAACTGGCCCTAACACTACAATATTAAAAAACATAAAATYGAAATTTGAATTAACTATAAATTATAAGTGATAACAATAATATGTAATACATGATAACGGAATGCCTGTTGAGGGGGAAGTATTAAAGTAAGGTGGGGACAAATCTCGATCGGTATTTCTCACGAGCGGATCACTGCAGCAGTGCAGCTGCTAGTTCCAAGTTCCGTACGCATTACACGCATCCGCGCGCGCTCAAAAACGAATGGATCTTCGCAGGAAAAAATTTTCGTGTCCGTACATAATATTGCCTACATTTAGCCCCTTTTTTGCAGCTATCTAAATGTAATAAGATTGATAAAATTATAACATAATTTTCATTCTTCTTCTTCATCTCAACAGCTTAGCGGTCCATGAAGGTCCATCGCTGAAATCTATTAAATATGATAGTATATATAAGTCCATCTACCATAATTTTCATTATAATTAGATTTAATGGTTTTATAYATCGCTAAATTCAAATTAAAATAGTTAAATAAATTTAATGATACACAATTCGTTGCGAATACTTCAAACGAAAATATAATACAMATGTTATAATTAGGCTATATTTTGTATTTTTGTTATAAATGTAAAATCGTCTTGTCCAGTATTTTAAATTCAAAATTGGATTATAAATAAATTTTACTAACTATTTGGCTCATAATTTAACACTCATATATATAATAAGCGTTTCAATGTTGTACCTTCCAMAGAATCTTGAACATCATTTAATACCCTTTGAACCTAACCAGTAAAGATGATACTATACTATTATATAAAATAAAATAATATAGCTACCTGCCAATTTTGCTCTATCAGCTAAAAGATATTTTAAAACATTGCAATAAAATTATTGAATTACAAACGAATCAAAACCTATGCAAATTGAAGATAGATATGAATTCAATTAACATCAAAAAAAAGTATTTACAATACATTTGGGTGAATACAAAAAAAAAAAAAAAAATGTTGTAGCCAATGTAAACTTTACATAAAAATGACAATATTTCTATGAGCTTACCTTGAATGAGCACCTTGAAGAGAATATTAAATAGCTTATCACTTGCTCGCCGAAAAATTTTTTCATCCATTGCCACTGTCTCTAATTTTTTGTCATCACTAGTCCAAGGTTCATCTCAACTCCATGGCTATCCACACAACAATATTATGTTACACAAAGTTAAATAAATATTTCCAAAAAATATTTAATGATTCATAAATTATAAGATTTTCATTGATAATAAATGTTTATATATTATCTAATTTCTATTAAATATTGATTGAACCCTTTAGATAATTATGAATCAAAATCAAAAATTAATATTTAATAAATATAAATCATTACTAATACATTTATATTTATTTTTGATTTTGAAAATGGTTAATAAATGTACCATCAAACTTAACTTACATTGAATACCAGGAAAACAAATGTTAAATAAATTTAATATAAACAACTGA